ATGACCTGGTATTTTGAATACCTTGCATCCATATAACTAATAAATAATATAATAATATCGATATGTACATTCAAAACCGAACGATTAATGAGCCAACGCACGCCGACGCAGCAGTAATATAACTAACCAAAATCGGAGTGTTTTGATCGATACGACGATAGAGGGCGCTTATATCTAATTGGAAAATATTGGTTTTGCGTTTATTTAGATTCAATCGTGTAAAGCAATTATGAGTAGGCATTATGGAATTAAGATGTAATCGAATTTGCAAAGAAGCGAATTGGCGTTTATTACATATGAAATTTTGTTGTGCCAGAAAAAAAAAGTTGATGAAAATTTCAAAATGGATGCGACGCGTCATTTCGAAATGTGGAATTGGAAATCGAATTTGCGGCACAAATTAATAATAATACAGAACGGGAAATTACGGCAATAAGTAGATGAGGTTAAATATTGTGTTAATGCACTAACCTTTCTTAATTGCGGCGGAGGATGAATGGATAATGTTGAATTTTCTTGGGAGACGCAGGTCGACGATGCATTCGCGACCACGCACAATAAACGACTACGTGCATTTCCATGGTGATCCGATCGGGAGATGCGTCTAGGCCAATCAGCGCCACGCATTTTTAACTGCAGGTGTTCAACAATCTGCAACAAAAAAAACAGAATTCTAGAAGAACAAAACCCACTGCACAAACAAAAAAGAGATAAAACTTGCAGCTGTGAATAAATTATAAACGTATTCTGATAAAAAATAGAAAATACATTAGATTTATAAATTAATAAAAAACCAGAATTCTTGGAAAACAAAACCCATTGCAGAAACAAAAAGAGATAAAACTTGCAGCTGCGAATAAATTATAAACGTATTCCGATAAGAAATAGAAATTACATTAGATTTATAAATCATAATGCATTTTATTATTAAGATTTTTAAATAATTTTATGTAATTTCATAGGAAGCCATGAGAAAACAATATAATACGAAATATTATTATTAAATTGCCACCTTTCTGGTCTCGAACACGCCACTTTCGTATAGGAATTTAATTACTCACGATTAATTGGTATCGATCGAATTGGATTGAGTTTTCTGCTGATGAAATTCTCAAAGTACATGACGATTCGCTGCATTTCTCATGATTTACACAACTTTATGAACATTCAAAACGCTAACGCATCTCGGCGCAATGAAGATCGAACTGTGACCCCCCTTCCAAGCCAACGCAAGGACTCATACCAACCGATTCGATTCAAAATGTAATCCGATTTTAATACATTTTCATCAAGATTTTGTTGTTATTAAGTTTAACACAAGTGCATGCGAAGAATTGGCAATAACAAAAAACAAAGCGTCATTTCGAATTGTGTCGCATTTTACAAACGAATTTACGGCTTAATTAATTATAAATTTCGCAAAGTTTATTTACTCACGATTAATTGCGATCGTATTGGATCGAGTTCTCTCGTCCATACACGAAGATTCACTGCGTCTCTCTTGATATACACAACTTTATGAACATTCAAAACAATCGAACGGTTGACTGAGCTTGCTCACGCCGGCGTAGTAAGAAATACCAACCGATTCAAATGAAATACTCGATTTGACATCAGACGTTAAAATTCATAATTGCAGATTGTACGCTAATTGATATTTCAATAATTATTGCATATTTAGTAAACGCTTAATAAAAAAATATCATTTTACAATTATTGCAGTGATAATAAAATGCATTGTAAAATTTGTGATTTACGTTTTTTTTTTAATGAAAGCGCGTGCATATTGGGTGGCCTACATTAATAACTGTATATAAAATATATATGATTTTGAAATGTGGAATTGGAAATCGAATTTGCGGCACAAATTAATAATAATACAGAAAGGGGAATTACGGCAATCAGTAGATGAGGTTAAATATTGTGTTAATGAACTAACCTTTGTTAATTGCGGCGGCGGATGGATGGATAATTTTGAATTTTCTTGGGAGACGCATGTCGACGATGTGTTCGCGACCACGCACAACAAACAACTGCGTGCATTTCCATGGTGATCCGATCGAGAGATGCGTCTCGGCCAATCAGCGCCACGCATTTAAAACGCAGGTGTTCAACAAAAAAAAAACAATAGAGAACAAAATCGCTTATCTCTTCTAGAAGGAAAATAACAATGGAATAAATTATTTTAATCGCATTGAATTTACGTTTGAATTTTATAAATAATAAAATTTGTAATTATACAAAATAATTATTTTCAAAACTTTATGATTTCAGTTTTATAGAAAATATGAAGTATTGTTTTGTGATTACTTCTTCTTCTTATTAATATTATTTCTGATTGGTTTAGATTGGTAGTGACGTTAGGGTTTCTTTTGTTATCAATTGTTTTAATAGCAAGTTGAATGTGTTTGTGAAAACGGTGAAAGCAAAATAATTAACGAAAATAAATAATAATGCTGTTGTATAAAGTACGATAAATACAGTTGAAACACTTTTATGATAATCGTGAAACGTAGCAAAAGAAATTTCTCTTCATATACGTGGAGGTACGTATTGTTTGTAAAAGAATGAAATGTCATTATGTTTGGGTGGTTTGATTATTCGTTTCCAGCAGCGACTTGATCACCTCGACGGGACGCTGGATGCGGAACCTGTATATCTTCGAGATGAGCTCCTGCAGTTCGGCATTGGCGAGGAAGTGATGCGAATAGATGTGCAAGAATTCCGGTTCCCTCGAGCACTCGTAGATGAGGGCCAACCGTTCGCGCAAGCTGCTCCCATCGACGTTGTGCATCTTCGAGCACCAAGGCAACGCCACTGCTATCACGTTCATCAAGGTATCAAAGTCCAGGGTGTAAAGCATCCTCTCGCTGACCTCGAAACCCTGCTCCAGATTGGTGAAGATCGATTGGGAGCCGCGCGTGGAGCACTCCTCCATGCAGGTGATGTTCGACGTAGCCTCGATAACTTCGTACGATTCGTCGACGAGGGAAATTTCCTCAATGGTATAATCTTCGATTTTGGTCTGCTCCTCTTCCAGCAGATCTTCCAAATAAGTGCTAGTGCATTTGTGGACGGCCTCGTCGGCGGCGACACCGACGAACTCCTCGGCCATCCTCGCCGTGTCCGCCTTATCCTCTTCCCTGCGCATCTCCTCCAGCTCCAGGTCCAGCTTCACCTTGACCAAACCCATGTAATGTCTGTTTCCTGTTTCGTAGTCGCAGCAGATTGGTTTCCCCAACGACAATTCGATGGCACGAACGAGCCCGTTCATCGGTTCCTCATCCTTGCAGAACGCCAGCAGCATCGCCGTGTAGTTGACGCGATTCTCGTCAACCTTGTACAATCGTATCAGCAGATCCTTGACGCACCTCGCGTTGTCCTCCTCGAGAATCCCGTCGAACCAAAAGAGCATTGTCCAAAACTGGTAATCGTACACCAATTCCGTCCGATCCGGATCCAAATCGCAGAAATCCGAGCGCAACCTCTGCAACTCGCCGCCGTCGGGAAAACCAACATTCAAATTATACAAAATGAAATCCTTCCAATCGATGTACTCCGAATCCAAGAACATCTGATTGGAGAAGGCGTGCGTTTTGTGCGGATGCAGTTTCGTCCAGAGCTCAGGCACGAACGGTTCCTTTCCATCCTCCGCGTTCAGCGTCAGAAGATCCTGAAGCAAAAAGACGAAACTGCGTTCGGCAATCTGCCCGTCCGGCGCCAAATCGAACAGGATGTTCGTAATCCGGGACAGCTGCTTCAGCGTGAAGTGTTCTCCATCGAGATCGACTTCGTCGTCGGCAAGTGGTGACACTTCGGGAAGTGGACTCTCGAAATACAACGAGTTGATCTTGACGAAAAAGTTGTCCTGATCGAAGACCAACTCCGGTTGGATCTTGGTCTCCGCTTCGGTCGCGCTCGCGAAGACACCGCACGCCGCTTCCACGCTCTCGATCTCTCTGTAATATCTCTCTTTGATTTCCTCGAAGATCCGATGAAAGTTTCCAGTCGCGCGACTCTCGTACTCGACCAGTTCACGGTTGAACACGAAAACGATCAACTTGATCCGCAGATCCGTTCTCGCCAGTTCACCGTTGAACGAGTAGAGAAACTCGTCTATTAACTCGGCGGCGCGATCCTTCACCTCCTGATCGGGCTGCACGAATTTCGTCGATTTCGTCGAATTGTCCTTCTTGCCACCTTTTCCCTTCGATTTTGGATTGAAACTGTTCTGCAATTTCTGATGGGCTTTCTGCGTCAACGTTTGCAGAGTCTCGACGTGATTGAGCGCCAATATCGCGTTCTTTTGAAGCGCTTCCTGGAACGGTAAATTACCGCTCTGCTCTTCATCAACGTTCACCAGCAAAGATTCGATGTAGTCTCTATACGGTTGCAGGTCTGCTGAATTCTCTTCCGCAGACAACGGTATAAGCTTGAGCTTGATCTTCTCCAGAGGACGCTCTTCGCTCGGCATCTTGGTGACCATCGCCGTGTAATAGTCGATCAGGAATTGGAGAGTGTCCGAGCATCGATCGATCTCCAATTGGATGAACGTCACGAAGATGTTGACCAGTTCGAAGAGGATTGTGGTGAAGAAGTTGCCGGCGATTATCCTCTGGCGCTCTGCCTCGCTCTCGCTCATCCGTTTATCGCAGAGCTGGCTCAACTTCTCCCGGAACTCCTCGATGCGGACGTGCAGTTCGGCCTTGACCTCGTCGTCGTCGCGCATATCGTCATCCAAATTGTTGTACATCACTTGGAAATCGCGTAAGTAGCACTGCTTATCGTCCGGCCTCTTTATGAAATCTTGCATGTTGTTGTAGACGAACGCTATGTACGGAATCAACGTGTCCAGGACGATTCGCCTTCTGAAGAAGAGCAGCTTGAAGTCGGTCATGTAAGTGCTCTCCATGTTCTCCCAGAGGGTTGCCAAAGCCACCTCGAACTGCTCGGGTATATCGAGATTCACGTATATCCAATTGGATTCACCCGGCTTCGGTTCAGGTTCCGGCTCCTCCTCAGGTTCTTCCACCACTTCGGGCGGTTCAGGTATCTGCGTCTCCTTCTCATCCGTTTCTATCGGTCCCACTTGCCCTCCTTTCCCTTTTCCGTCTTTCTTTCCCTTTCCACTCTTCTTGCTGCTCTTACTGCTACCCTTACTCTTCTTCTCCTTCTTCTCTTTCTTTTCCTTCTTATCCTTCTTACTCTTGGATTTTTCGCTCTTCGGCGACGATTTCTTCGACTTCTTCTTCTTGTTCGGATTCTCCTTCTTATTTCCCACTTTGACCGCTTGCGAAGTGACGGTCGTCAGTTCGTTCCAATGGGCTTCGACGTAGTTGACCGTATCCGTGAAGAGTTC